ACCACCCTGCTCAAAAGCTACGCTCTCGGGTAGATTCGTATAGTTACGCCAATGCTCTCGCAAGATTTCGTTATTGTTTAGTTAAGGTCGAGGTGCTCGAATCTGCCGTGGGGAGATAGTCTCGGCGTACCAAGTTGTCCGGCAGAGAAGAGTACCCGACCGAGACGTCTCCACGGACCGGCAGAAGCTCGGGTGAGATACCGGCGCCACGCTGGCGATGGGCAAAGGGCTGTAGAGCGGGCGGAGATAGAGTTTTGATACAGTTAAGGGCAGCGGAGGAACCCCCTGACCCGAGTTAAGGATGTGGTGCCCAGCTGTCGACTGATGCCCTAGGGAAGCGGCCGTGAAGGATCTCCAAACTTACGTACCGATCCTCTAAGGAGGAGCGCTCTCGATTTGGTATAAAGGGACAACTCGAGGGAAACGAAAGAGTTATCGGCTATAAAGATCTCGACCAATCAGATTGATTAGTTCTCTCATTTGGCTATTGTCAAAGCAGTCTGTCTCGGGGCACCGACCGAGGTGTCACGAACTGGCTTGCGCTCCCGTGTTATCTGTTGATAGTTTTTCTAGCTGTGTTTGGTACGGTATAGAAAATTCTCATTCGTGTGGTTCTCGCATTGCTCTCGCGATATCCACAAATCCTATAGATTTTCTGCGAGTGTTCCGGGGGTGTAGTGCTGTGCCTCAGTGCAGTGCCCACCTGAGTGTCCTCTGGATACATTTCTCCACCTTCACGGAGTAGCTGCGTTACGTCCTATGCGTGAGCGACCGTATGCGGGAGCATCAGGGAGATAGCATAGGTGTTGAGATCAAAGATCACGTAAAAGGTATTGGGTTCTTGCCACTTTAAGGTGCTAAAGCACGCCTATTTGCGTTTATGTCCCTTGGTCGATAGTTAAGATGAGGATCACAAGCAGGTACTAGATATATTGAATCGGAAAACTCACTTCTTCTACGTGAGTGTAGTTGATGCTACTAACTAGTGGGTTTATTTGGATCTAGGAGCTAGTAGGTTCGGGGTTTTGAAATCAAGTGAATAAAATATGGTTTAACTAAATATAATGAAACAATAGGTTAGAATACATGTAGCTGTTACAGTCAGATGTAGGAGAGAGTATGTTAATCTACTAACATAGCGAAATTCTAATACAATGTGCTACTAACTAGTGGGTTTATTTGGATCTAGGAGCTAGTAGGTTCGGGGTTTTGAAATCAAGTGAATAAAATATGGTTTAACTAAATATAATGAAACAATAGGTTAGAATACATGTAGCTGTTACAGTCAGATGTAGGAGAGAGTATGTTAATCTACTAACATACCGAAATTCGAATAGCACTGTATATGTGATCGTCAACTTGTGTAATATATTGTGTAATATAGGTTACAAAGATAGATAGATATATGTAGGTGTAGGAATGTGAGTTTCTTACCGGTGGATGAGCAGAGGAAGAGAGAGAGACGGCGCTCGGTTCTCGACGATAGTGAAAGTAGATTTGGTTGAACGGGAAATTCTTGGTCCAGCCCTAAGGTGGACACTCGCCTAGACGAATGCTTATTAAAATGCCAAGAATTGAGTTCTTTTCGCGTGGACGTTCGGCACTGAAGTAATACACTTTTCGCTTGGATCCTAAGGCAAGCTAGATCAGAATAGGCCCTAAAGTATTTGATCGGCACAACACTTGACTGGCGCGGACAATCGGCTCAAGACTCAAAAGGGATACTGCTCTACCGGAGGATTGATTAGTAACTGGGGATGATCGGTATTGGAGTTCGTAAGGAAGGTTTTGAGTTTGGAGGGGATTGAATGCAATGTTAGGAAATATCTTGGAATTTGGATACATATTGCGGCATGATTGGGGCAATCGAACCCTGTCGTTCGATCGATTTCTCATTGCAGGCCTTCGATCGCAGATTCTTCGTTGGATTAGTGCATTGTCAGGATTATCTTGGTGGTGAGGTGGGTGCGAAGGTGACGGGTAGGAGTTCTGCTGTGCGCGGTATTCGCGGTGCTATGGTAAAATGCTCTTTAGGCACCTTAATTCTGAGTATCCTGTTCAGCATTGCTGCCCGTGCCGTTCTTATTCTTTGGTTGCCGTGATCTCTCTCTCTCTCTCTACTCATCCACCTGCAATGTCACAATGTTGGTGTGATTTCTGAAAATGTGTGAAAGTATGAGATGTCGTGTACAGTATAATATAATATGATGATATCCCTTAATTATTAATATATATGTGTAAACTACGATATACAATAATTAACGCATGTTCGCTGAGGATCGGTTACATCTATCGTGGTCTCTGACCGTTGCTAGTGGGGTACGGAGGGGTGCTGAAGGGGGGGGGGCAATGGGGTTGCGTTGCGTCGGACGTAACAGCTGCACCAGCTCCGATAAGTACTCCTAATTTATTATTTTGTGAAGGGATCTCTGTTTGATACGTCCGATTCGTTGTGTTACGTCCTCGATCCGTTGCTCTCTGTATCTCGCACTCTTTGTCTGATGCATGAGCGAATAATAGACGGCCAATGGTAAAGTAGGTTAGTTCTCGGATTTCTCGTTATCGGCGTCGAGTTAAGACAAGAACATTTTAATGTATTTTTCAGAATCCTTGATTCCTTATCCTGAAAAATGCATAAGTGCATTATATTATTACTAAATAATATACACGATATTATACAAATTGCACGTGCACGACTCTAATGTGGCGCAAACGACATTCTGACTTGACAACTAATGCGATACGAGAGCACTCGCCAATTCCGCCACGCAGTATGTTGCATTTGATTAATATAAATGCCTTTCAATGTAAGTTTCAATCAAGAAATAGAAAGACATCTTCCTTAAATCATATTTCATAATTAAAATAAAATGTGCGCCATATTAGCGGAAAAAACATTTACATATAATGTGGCGAAATGTACTCATTTGCAAAGCCAATGATTATTATATTTTAATGGTATAACATTTATTTTAAAATTACGTAAAACTTTAGCTAAAATGTTTTCCCTTTAGGTGCACCAGATTCGTTGCCTTTCCTCTACACCGGTAGCGAGAGAGTTAATCGATATTTTTATCGATTATACATTTTATGAATAATAACGTTTTCTGATAAAAACTACATATATACAGGGTGAACCACGGATCGTGATCAGTAGAGATTACTTTGTTATTAGCAGTCCGATCGAAAATGTTTTTATCAGCTTTTGCATGGTTTCAAGAGAGATTTAACGTGATAGTGAAAAATTACTGGTCAACTCTTTTTTTTAATGTTTTTTCAAGGTTACCTTGAATTTTTTGCAACTGAACATATAATTTTTTTACGCCGGTTTGTTAGAGGATTTCAAGAGGAATTCAGCACATGTAAGGACATGACATTTTGTTCATCAGGTTCGAAAGAAAATTAAAAAACTTTGTATCACAAGGAGAATCACAGCTACGCCGTTATACGCATCCATTCTGTCGTCTTCAGTCGCCATCAGTGTAGAGGAGAGGCCATAAAGAATGCAAAACAATCTTTTGTTCACCGTCTACGCGAGTGCATTGCAGCTCGTGGACACCATTTTGAACATCGCTACAATTAAGATTCGTAAATTTTGACTTGTCAACAACATTGATTGCGTAATAACGGCGTAGCTGTGATTCTCCTTGTGATAAGGAGTATTTAGTTTTTTAATTTTATTTCGAACCAGATGAAAAAAATGTCATGTCCTTACGTGTGCCGGATTCGTCTTGAAATCCTCTAACAGACCGGCGTAAAAAAATTATATGTTCAGTTGCAAAAAATTCAAGGTAACCTTGAAAAAACATTTAAAAAAAGAGTTGACCAGTAATTTTTCACTATCACGTTAAAGCTCTCTTAAAACCATGCAAAAGCTGATAAAAACATTTTCGATCGGACTGCTAATAACAAAGTAATCTCTACTGATCACGATCCGTGGTTCACCCTGTATATTATAACGGGGCACCTGGCTCGCCCCCGTTATAATTAATTTATCCAGAAGGCCGCTATAGCCAGGGAACGCTAGAGGGCTAGGAATTTCCGAAAAATTAGGAGTTCTGATCGGGAATCGAATCTGATACCTTCGGACAACCATGTGAGGCACTTAACACTGTGCCACCGAACCCACTGTCCGACCTGGTAAGTCCTATTTATTTATTTTGCGTTCATTCCTAGGTGGTCTCCCCTCCAGCTCTGTAACGTCATGTTACAATATAAAGTTCATACTGAAAAGTTATATTATTAATCGAAAAGTTTATCAGTATGGCATGTACAGGGTGTCCCACGGGAAGTTGCTGAAACTAATCGGCAATTATTTGGAAATGCATGCAGGTATCAACATGCCTCAAATTGCTTTCAAAAGAAGACATTTGGAGGTTTTTTTCATGCATAAATTTATTATGATTAATAATATTCTAATACATTTATTTTACATTTTTTTAAACCGATAAATTTAATGATAAATATTTTCGAAGTGTTCACCATTACTACTCGAGCAATAATGTATTCTCTTTCGAAAACTATACAAAACTTTACTTAATATTTCATCTGTTATACTATTTACAGTTTTTCTAATAGGTTTCATCAATTCTTCTGTTCTTGGATTTTCAGAATAACAGTGGTCTTTAATGTGACCTCATAAGAAAAAGTCACAGCGCTTTAAATCTGAGGAGTATAGTTGCCACTCAATTTCTCCTTGAGCAAATTTAGGGTATTCTAAACCAATCACTCGATTTTCACACACATTATAAATAACCTCGAACATATGTGGGGCGCGATGAGGCGCTGCTCCATCCTGCATAAAATAAAAAGTTTTAACCCAACCTCTTTTCTTTGCAAAGGGGAAGAACTTTGTCTCCAACAGCTCTTTATAACGATCCCCAGTGACCGTTGAATCAAAAAAAATATAGGTAAATTCCTTTTACAGATAATGCTGCTCATACGGTTATCTTTTCTGGATGAAGATATTTTGATATGGAAATATTGGGGTTTTCCGTATCTCAAAACCGAAAATTTTGTTTATTGAAGTATCCATTTAACCAAAAATGAGCCTCGTCAGAAAAAACAATTTTGTTTTCATCAATTTCTCCGGATTCAAACATCTCTGTTATAGTCTTGCAGAATTTTACACGTGCCTCCATGCATCTTGTTTTTAATAACTAATAAGTTATTATTTCAGATGGATGTAATTTCAAAAACATTTTTACAATCCTGTGTAGCGAAGATTTTGAAATTTTTAGTACTTCAGCAGCTTTTCTGATAGTAGAATTCGGATGTTCTGCAAAATATTTGTCTACACTATCCACTGTTTTTTCCGTCCCAACTGTGTATGAAGGGCCCGGAGCATCATATCTACGGTCGTGAACAGTGCCATACTGTATGAAATTGTCAATAATCCTGTAGAAAAAACACATTGTAGTGAAACTCAGTTAAAAAAACTATTGAGACAAAACATGAACGTGATTAAGAATTTTTTTTCTTACCTTTTCAGTGTTTTCACTAACGACTCTATGCTGTCCAAACTTAGTTCTAAATCCTCTATACGCATTTGCATACTCCTTTAGTCGTAAGGTCACTCATTTCTACGCACGTATTCGTAACTCTACAATGTCTGAAATGAAACTACCAACTCTCAGATATGTCACCATGAACTAGAGAAATCTTACTCAGATGGTGGAGGAGAAAGAGAGGTATTTATTTTTAGCAACTTCCCGTGGGACAACCTGTAGTTTAAATGGAAGTCGTTGGTAGTTTCATAACTTTGAGATGAACTAAAAACTGAAATAACTAAAAATAAAATGCAACTGCAAAAAGTGAGGTTATTACTTATAAAATTGATTTATTTATTTCTGATGAATTCGTCTTGAAATTTTCCTATTTAATAATTCTATAATTGTTGAATTGAATTTGATAAAAATTGGTAGGAATGTTTAGGGCATCAATAAGTTTTTTCAAATTTAAACAAAATTTTTTCAGGTGAAACGTCTCTTATTAAGTATTGTAAAATTTTAATCGTCTCTTTTAGTTAGGTTTCGCACTTATTTTTCCTCGGGATCATCTGAATTCAAGATCCATCACCACGTTAAGGAGCCTCGTAGATGGAATTTTTTGGCATTTTATTTTTCAATGAAAAACCGTAGATGAACTAAAAACAGCTATAGCAGAAAAAGTTAACAATATTCCAATTGACATCCTGGAAAACGCTGTTTTTAATTTAGTCCTAGTCTTAACAAATTCGATGAAAATAATGGCCAACAAATCGAGCAGAATTAATTCGGTTATCCAATGCAAAATAACTCAATCTATGGAGCTTCTTGAAGTGGTGATGAACCTTGAATTCAGATGATCCCAATGAAAAATAGGTAAGGAATCTAACTAAAAACGTTCACTAAATTTTGCAATACAAAATAAGAGATGTTTGCCATAACACAATTTTTCGAAAAATTCTGAAAAAACTTATTGATGCCCTAAATAATCCTACTAATTTGTATAAAATTTTAGTTCGCCATTCAAAAGTAATAAAATTGTTAGGTGGGGCAGTTTCTTTATGGCAACCTTGTATATCGTAATCAAACATATAATGAATAGAGCTCGAATCATAAGTGAGCCATTTGCAGCCTACTGCATCTGTATTGAACGATAGTCTTGTCTATTTATTTTCCCTTTTTAATGCAATAATTATGCCACTCAAAAAGACGAGGTCACGCTGTATAGGTCTACCTCCATTTCAATTCATAGCTAATATAAGTCTCGCAAACGATTTTTCCACTGCAATAATAAGGGTTCCCAACGACTACAGACTCCTAATATATTTATTTGTAAAAAACCTTTATTGTGAACTTCTTTCAATCAATTTGATAAATTAATATTGAATGAAATACAAAATACTGCCACTGTAGATAAACATGATTGTTAGCCGTCAAGGTGATATCGGTAATTTCATCCTCGTGAATACAGTGGGAGATAAAAATATTCCTACAACGAAATGCTAGAAGTAAAATAAATTGTGAATTTCTAGATTCATTTTTTTTAATCGAATGCGTGTAATATTATACATATGTATATTTATTTATATTAGAGTCTAAGTGTTAAGTACAAGTCCACATATTTGAAAAAAAAAGTTAACCGAGAAGTTTATCTCTATTCCATTTAGGCTTTCTTTTTGTACAAATGTTTTTGTCCCGCACCGTATACGTATACAGGGGTATTCACTACAAACCTACCCTTTGAGGGTGGTTTTACTATAGAAATCAAATAAATAGGCTAACTTCAGCTGGTACATTTGACCTGAATGATCATATATGTTGTGACGTTAAAAATAACGTCACAAACTCCGAAAAATGATAACTGTAGTATTATCGGTCAGAATGTATTACTACCCCTTATGCGAATGTAACAAAGAATACCAGCCAAAAATTCAAAGATTCCAATTACAATACTGATAAGAATAAGGCTAACTTTAGTGCTGAAAATATTTCATACTTTCTGTATCCAACCATCATACCGAGAGCTCTTCGTATCGCTCGAAGGAAAGTCTCACAAGGTTACGATAGGGATATTGGAGAATGGTCAACAGCACCTGACGCCTCCACCCCGCATCCCGCGGCTCGTGAATTGATCAGGTGATTCGATAACGACGAAGTATTGCCATAGACCATTACGTTTGTTACGGAATCGCCGGTGCCAACGTCCCGAGATGAGATCATCGAACGTACTCAAGAAGAAGGGAAACATGAAGACCTGCCTAACTTGTGATCTCATAATGTTGCGAGTAGATGATATACGGAATTTAAACATTACAGTTTTAAGTCATCCTTCCAGGTATCGGATATCGCTATTTACAGGAAATCTTCGACTAACAAGTTCTGACTTTTCCGTGTTATTCTCGCGAAGGCTGAAGTCTGATATAAAGTTCCGGAATTAAAATGTAAAATTAAGAAATTGTTTGAGTTAAACTACATACTTTCGTATTAGCACGTAGTAATACAAGGGTACAAATCCTTCCGTGACAATGACTGGACCACGAGGGGACTACTGTAACGAGAACGGAGCGTTAGATAACTCTGTAGAGATCCATCCTTCTCATGAAAGTTCATTGATTGTTAGCTATCTTGGGCCAGTTGCGTATAAAGTTTCGTCTCGTTTAGTCTCGCAAAATGATATTTCACGGTAAGCATCTGTCCAAGAGGACGAAATCTTTTCCGCGATCGTGACTCTAGTGCAACTGTATTTATAAATCATCTGATCCATTCCTTTCTTCCCGATTTAGACCGTGGTGATAATGGCGTTTCGCCAGCCTGAAAAAGATTTCACGCCCTAACTCTAAAAATGTTATATGTATTCATAAACTGTGTATTTGCATTTATCCAAACGTCTCTGGGTTCTTAAAGATCTGTTCAAGGAATGCGCCTTTCGTGCGTTCACGTTTTACTATGTCATTAAGTTTAATTTTATTTTCTCTATTTCTCTATATTGTTTATTTTCTTATATCTTATATTGTTTTATATTTTATATTTTGCTATATTTTATATTTACTTTGTGTTCTTTGCAATCCGCCATGCGACTTGGTCTATGCCGGTAATTTCTCACGGTTTCACAAAAAAGACTTTTCTTTCACTGGCGTTTAGAATAATTGTATCTTCTCTTAATCGAACTGCTTCACGTATCGCGTAGAGGACTTTAGAATTTTTGTTTAATAATTACCGTGAAAATCATGGTAGTAACAAGACAACATGATATTTTGAAAAATATTATATAGAAATAACTGAATATGTAATGTAAAATAAAGAATAAGATCTTGGACATCATCACAAATTTTCCAAAACGATTAGGTATATTTTCTGTTCGTTAAAATATCTGAGCGATAAATTTAAAAAATTTCAATTTTTTAATTGATTTTTACAGTGCTATTCATAATTTTGGGGAAAGCAGAATTTCATTTAAAAAATGCGTTCTTTATTTATAATTTAACTATTCATCTAGACAATTTTTATTGCACATTAAATATAATGTTTACTGTGCAATAAAGTTACACTGAATTGCTTAAATCCTATTCGCTCGCTTTTTGATTCTCGTTTTTTTATAGTTTGTGTAAAAATACTGAATATTTATTTTATCTTGCAACTTGGATACCAGAAATCGTAAAGGGCTACAAATACGGCGAAACATGTTTCAGTTCTTCTTTTTTAGACCGTTTTGAGAATTAGTTTTTCTTCGTAATTTGAGGATGCTCATACTTACTGGTGAAATAATTTGGTTTTGAATCTCTTGTACTTCGGGCTATGTAATTACATACTACGCTACAATGAAACAGAATTTGATTATATGAAAACGGAAAACGAAGAGCATCGATAAATTATCGTCGTAGGTTACCATAATTAAAAGTTTGAGTATTTAGATGAAACTTATTAATAAAGTTATTACTTACCACGTAAAGAATAAGTCACTCGGTAGATATAATTATTTTCGATGACCTAACGCTAGATTTTTGGGTTATTGTCTACTTTTGTGACATAAGTTGAAATTGTTAAAATATTCAATCGCCGGCTGATATCACTAGAATTTAGCGATATAACGAGGACAAAACGCGCTCTCGGACGTGGCAACTTCAGGTGTCCTACTTGGGATGAGACATGCATCTTGAAGCAGTGTTCATTTCTAACTGAAGCAACATGTACACATTGGGCTGGTTGCTCAGTGGGTGGTACGTCATATTCCTCGCTTTGAGATTCTCAACAATCATAGGTTTAAATCCAACTCATGACACAATATAGTAAATGCAGATTCCTATTTTTTCCAATCTCAATTACATATTTCATGTATTTCAATAAATATCCAAACAGTTTAAACAATTCTCTATGTCATGCGTACATGTCCACTTCAGTAGACAGGTACTAGCATGGAAAACTGTCTACGACCTAGATAGTTTCATATAACTAGTAGCTAGATGGTGTATGCGTTAGGTTTTTGGTCGGTCGCTAGGTAACTTTCCTTGTTAGCCCTTGGATAGAAATAGTGGAAACTGAATAATATCCAGATGGGGCCGAAGTACAATTTTCACTAGCGGTAGCTCTAAATATAACTGTTGTTACAAAGTATGTGCATGGTGTTACATTAAGATATATATCTGCTTGTATATCCTTTTTTTTTCGATGACGAACATATAAAATACTCGCGCAAGATGCGTGAGTCATGCCTAAAAACTAACATATGATGAATAAAGGTCGTCTTAGTTAAATTGAATTTATTCAATATATTCATTAGGAATTTTATCATACTTTATGTGATGACCGACATATAAGTGTATCTATCGTTCAAATATACAATATGGGCGATTCCATTAGATTTTAGCCATCCCTATTTTATTTGCTGTGCTACGTGGAATCGGTCGTTTTTATTTTGAAAACAGATATCCCGGAGACAGTGTTCCATATAACAAATTATTAAAATTTAAAGTTGTTTTTTTTAGTATCTACAATAAAAAAATATTTTTAAAAGTTTTTGAGTAAGTAATACCTGTTTCCAAAAAAAGAAACACAAAATGTTTTTTCCTGACCAAAGCCCATCGATGTCGGTGTTACGGAATTTTTTTTATATTCTGTAGACAGAACATGAAATTTGTGCAAAATTACAAATTGGGACATCCGGCCGTTTTTGAG